GGGGGGGCGGGGGGGTGTGGGGGGGGGGGGGGGCGGGGGGAGTAAACGTGAAAGACAGACAGAGAAAGCGGTTTTGTTCGCCTCCGTGCGTGTCGGCTTTTACTTGGTAATGCCGAGCTGCTGGTAATGCTGTGTCTCGGCTCTGATCACTTCAATGGCTGTAGCTGTAAAATCTGATGTTTCTTGATGAAAATGGCAGCTTGCGGCTACTTTGGTCAACATGGACCTCTTGCAGAGAGAACAATTTGTGGCCGTCACAAGGATTTCGGATGTTCTATAGATCAGTTTTTTGGGTTTTCTTTTTTCTTTTCGTGGTTACTGTAGAATGAGATTGCGGGTGTATTAAAGAATTAACATTTACCGTCTGCTGGTGGCAAAGTCCAGACCCTTATGGGTGTGTGTTTTACCAGAAGGGTGTGTATAGTGTGTGCGCTTTGTTACCCGGAGCTGTGTGTGTATGGTGTCAGGATTGTGAATGAGGTGTGTCTCTGCCCTACCCTATACTCTAGGAAAGGCTGGGTGTGTACACTGCAATGTCTGACTCGTCCTTCCGTGTGAAGCCAACACGCATTCTATGAAATGAAAATTTCTACATATTTTATTATTGCCAAATGTTCTAAACCTTTTCTTTTCAGTTTGATTAAAAAAAAATTTCTTTTTTTTAGGCAGACCAACTTACTGAGGAGCAGATTGCTGGTGAGTAATTGTCCTTCCACAATGTGGAGTTGGGTCATTTGGGGTGGTTTCGGGCTATTGGCCTTGACTAAGCCTTGTGTACGATGCACATTGTGTCTGTGGTCAAGGCTTTCTCTGGCCTAACGCTGAGCACGGAATTGTACGGAGTTGAGGGCAGATCTGATCAGATAAATGTACTGTTGCGTCGTGTTATTTAGCAGAATTCATGTTGCATGCAGAACTGTTTGTTGAAATGGGAAGTTGACATTTAAGGTCTGAAGGCACACCACTTAATTTTTTTTCCATGTCATTATCCATAGATCTTAAAGCTCTACTGTAGGCAGGCACAAATAGGTGCAGCTTCATATTCATGTCATTGAAATTTTGTTTTATCTCATGCAAGCGGTGCAAGTATCTAAATTGAACCTGGCATGTCCCTGCAGCAGAGCTTAGACTAGGAGAGGCAGGAGCAGCACAAGGAGACTATTGATTTTGTGTGCTGACCAGGGACATGCTTTTAGGAGAGAGCAGAGTGATGGTAGATAAGCTCATCACTGTGCTCCTTCTCATTCGCTGTCTAATGACAGGCCGGAGGCGGGGCCATGACTGCCTGAGCTCAGGAAGTGGGTTGATTGATGGCTGTCACTTAACCAGATGGACTAAGGACATCTAGATGCAGAAACGTACAGCTTTATCTTGTATGCAGCTGTTTTATTTTTCAGATTCTAGACTGGAGTAATGCTTTAAGTATTGTGGTACCCGCATTATATTTAGGCCTGTATTAGCTCTGCTATAGATGGGGCTTGGAGTGACCAGACTTTTACATCTGTTGATTCATTTGCCATACGGCAGTAGGAATATTGACCATACCCGGAAGATGGAGGTTGACTGCCTTTATTCTGTGGCCATGGTATAGCTCCTCTATGACTATTGCTGCTGCTGCCCAGCTGTTGGTAGATGTCGCCCGGTCATACCAGCAGTCGCCGGTCATACTGGCAGTCGTTCCTACTAAACCAGAGGTCTGCACAGCTCCCTGTCTGCCCATCTTAAACATTGCCCATGCGGAAGTCACTCAGACATTCAGCCGATTTTGTTCCTGTTTTTGCTTGTGACATCTCTTCAAGAGCTTCAAATTTTTTAATTGAGAAGTCCTTCTCTGAATACAGCAACCCTTAAGGTGCCCATACACTGTGCGATTATCGCGGGAAATCCCACGATCGTACGATCTCAAAGTGTATGGAAGGCGTGCGACCGTTTTTACTGCACGGTCGCATGTCTTTTGTCTAAAGAGCATGCTAGAAAACCAGCCGAGAATCGTACGATTTTCGGCTGGTTTTTAGCATGATCCGAATAATGCCGCACGCGCACACTTCCCGTTCAGCATTGCGGTCATCGGAAGCCTGCCCCTCGGGGCAGGCTTGCGATGATCGCAAGTACGATCTGCCTGTCCAGGATGGGCAGATCGTACGTTTTTTAAATTACTTTACAACCCTGGTTGTAAAGTGTATGGCCACCTTTACCTTTGTCCTCCTATAAAACCACGGAGGGTAAATCGGCAGCTTTGTGCTCAGCCAGATTATGGCCCACAAGCTGTAGCAGTTTTCCTCATTGGTTTGCTTTGCACACTTGCAGCTTCTATAGAACTTTTCAGGGTAAATTTGTTCTGCAGCTCAAAAGCTTTCCCACGGTCACAAGATCAGCTCGCTGCTACGACTTGGACTTGTTGTGAAATAGGATGTTACCCCCAAGGCCTTATCTGAAGGCAGGGACGATGCAGCAGCACGATACAGGCAGCCATGGGCGCTCGGGCTCAAGTTTGTGGTCATGCAATGTTTTATCTGTGGTACGTTGGGGAAAGTTCAGCGGGTCTCATTCATATGCATGTTGTGTGACCTGTTCAGATACTTCAAAAGGAGCCCCTCCTGACGGCAGATGGAATTAACTTCCTAAAAGTTCCTGTAGCTTTATATTCAGGGGGGAATTTATCAAAACTGGAGCAGACAAAATCTGGAGCAGTTGCCCATGGCAACCAATCAGCTTCTCTCCAGATTGTTCGGTTTTAAGGTTTGAAAATGAAAAGAGAAGCTGATTGGTTGCCGTGCACAGCTGCTCCAGATTTTTTTTTTTTGCCCCAGTTTTGATAAGTGTCTTGGTGGTCGTTGTCACCAAGACAGGAAGTGAAAAAATCTAACATTCTGAGCAATCACCAGAACAAGGAAAGTTGGAAGTTCCCAATTGGGGACACTTCTGCTCACTTCCTGTTTCTCAAGACTGAAAACAAAGGAAAATTTCCCTAAAAACATGGGACAGCAAACAATTCTCATGCTTTAGCCATTCCCTACTGTATCCAAAATGAGTCTTCATGATCACTTTAACCAATAAATATAACAAAGCTCCTTTTCTACTTTGATCAATATTGGTTTTATAAAGTACATTTTAGTCACTTTAATTTGCCCCATTAAAATTTATACTAAACTGATCCCGCTACAAAGCATTGCAAAGTTATTTAGAAATGCAATAAAAGCTTTTCAATTTTGTGCCTAACCTAAGGCTAATAAGGGGTTAAGTAGCAACAATCGTATTAAACAACTCCAGGGAAAAGTGTAATTGACTCGTGCCGTGGTTATTGCTTTTAGGATCAACAGGGACGAAAATAAGTTGCCTGATCCTCGGAGATGGCTGGTAGATTGGTCCTCCCAGCTTGTCTGCTCCACTGCAGATGACAGACCTTAGGCCGCATGTTTTATACATAGTGTATGACACTGAGGGACATACCATAGCTGCGGAGGAGGAGACAAGCTGGAGGGAGCGCTGTCACAGCCAGTCGGCTCTAAAGATCCAGTGACTATAACCATTTATAACCACTTAATATTGAATCTCATTGTTCTCCGCTCGCTCCCATGCAGTTCATTTTGAAGTCCTGCAAGCCTGGTTCTTGCAGCATATTCCCAAAATGTATCTGTCGTAATGGTAAAACGCAATCTATAAACTGTACATATGTTAATTTATGGAGCTTCCCCTGTCCCTGAAACATTTGCTTTACAACCTGAGGGGTAGGAACTTTAGAAATGTATGTAGTGTGTGGGACTGTCAAGCTTCAACTTGCCTGTGACTTGACTGGTTTATACTTTTAGTATCTGTTAACGTTCCTGTGTCACTTCTTGTTTTGTAGAATTCAAGGAGGCTTTCTCCTTATTTGACAAAGACGGCGATGGCACCATCACCACTAAAGAACTTGGAACAGTCATGCGATCACTCGGCCAGAACCCCACCGAAGCCGAGCTACAAGACATGATTAACGAAGTCGATGCTGATGGTGAGTTATGGACGGAGTGTGAGACGAGGCGTGTGGCTTGTTATAGGAATAATGCCGGATCAGAATGGGATGTTGGTTTGCAGATTCACCGACCGGCCATGCTTCACATACGCCTTCCTTTCCTTTCACTCCCTGACAGCTGGGTTGGGACTGGAATCCCTGCGTAAGCTTTCAAGTTGAAACTTACTGAAGGTTAAGTACTCTGCGCACCCCCCCCCCCC